TTCAAATTAATAGTCCTTTTGTTCAAGCCTAATCTTTGATCCAGAGCTCTAATTTCTTCACAACAATTATTCTAATCAGAGAAAATTATAGCAGCTCTATCAACAAAATTTAACATTTCTTCTCAAAGAGCACTAGCAGAAAAGCCAATTTCTTTAGGTAACGCAATGATTCAGTCTGAAAAACAAAATGGCTCATTGAGAGAACAATTTAGTAGCACAATCATTATCCCCAAACAGCAACATTGATTTTCACTATTTATAAACAAATAGCGGCTGTAAGCCCAAAATTCCATCCGTGTTCAAAACTCACACTTTGGATAATCTTTCATTCAGATTTACGAATCTTATTCCAAGCTAGTGAAATCTCTCTCTCTCTCTCTCTCTCTCTTTTCTTTAAGTCAACCAAGAGTACAAGTCTGCTCCACAACATCCAAATCAAAATGTTACTAAGCTACATCACCAAAATACCACTCCCTGTTCAGTCCTATTTTAACAACACACTCCAAAGCAAGCATATATATCTAAACAGAGCAGAACAAGAGAAAACCCCAAAGATTCAGTTCTAACAACAACAAAAAGAGCAGCAAAAAAAAAAGAACAGAAGCTTACATACCTTACAATAGCTTTATTGAAAAAAGAACAAAAAAGAAATAACAAAGGAATGCTAAAATCACGTTGGAATCATAAACACACAGTGCACGAACAAAAACAGAGGTGAGAGGAGACGAGGACAAAGTTTATTGCTCGATGAAATTAGCTCCACAAGTCACTCCTTGTTGTACTCGGCATTGATGCAGACGATGCGATGAAGGAGCCATAGCAGCATAAATAAAACAGATTAGAGGAAAAAAGAGGAATATGAGAATCTGGATGAAGAGGAAGAAAAGAGGAGCTGTGATGCGTGCGAGAAGGCACATAGCATGAAGGTGGAGGAGAAGGAAAATGCTGATGATAGGGGGAACGTAGAGACAGTCACTAAGAGATGTGAGGGGCAAGAACAGCTGAAACTAGAGGAGTTGATGTAAAGTAGGAACTTAGGGTTCAAAGGGGATCAGGAAATTACAAAAGAGGGAGACAAATTTAAAATTCAAAAGTTAATAACCAAGAAAAAAAACATTAGATTCATTTGGATGGAACTGAAGTTAAACAAAGCCAAAGGACAATTATGGAAAAACACAAAATCTTTTATAAATATTAAATATATAAATATTTTTTAAAAAAAAATTTTCTTATAGGTTAGCTGCAGCCAATTCCTTTCAGCTTCCTAATCTGGCTGCAGCCAAATTTTCATTGGCTGCAGCGAATTTGCCTTTGGAATTTCTCTGGCTGCAGTAAAAAAATTTTCTAGTTTGTATCATATAACACTAAACCAACCTGAATCACATAGATAGGAGTGTCTATGTATGCTCACACTTCAAACCAACCAAAAGCCTCACAATTGAGCCAAAGTCACTTCAAATTGATTCTGAAACAGTAGCAATCATACACCACTTAATTCAACACCATCACAAACATATTTAAATTGGATAAAACACCATCATTAGTTATGGAATCAACTTGTATCAGTACAAGTGATAAAACTATGCCAAAATTTATCTCAGAAACCAATTCTCATCAGCAACCAACCACTGTAGCAACTTACGAACGCTTCAAAACCATCAAAAATCTATTTGAGAGGTTTTCTATCAACCCACATGATGCCTTTAATAGAGAAAAGGTCAGAAATCACCTAGTAATTGCATTACTTCCTTTAAAACACACATTTATCAGTAAAATCTATCAATCATCCTTCATTGCAAGCTTCATCATTGGGTAATCTCTATTATCTACAAAAAGAGAAAGACTAAACATAAATCCACTAAAATTACACCAAAAGCAATAAAAATTAAAGAAGAAAGGTTTAGAACTTGGGTTGCCTCCCAAGTAGCGCTTGGTTTATAGTCTTTCAGCCTAACTCTTCAACGCTCTAAAAGGGATCTGATAAAGGCACAATAGTGGTCTATCGGTCCACCTTACAACCCCAATAATGCTTCAGTCTTTGACCATTGGTTTTAAATCCCTCTCTCTATTATTGCCTTCCAGTTCAACAACACCACGATCGAGCATATGAACCATAATAAACGGGCCTAACCATCTGAATTTCAGCTTTCTGAGAAAGAATCTCAGCTTAGTATTATGCAAGAGCATTTGTTGACTTGGTTCAAAAGTCTTGAATAGAATTTTCTTGTCATGCCATAGCTTTGTCATTTCCTTATACAACTTAGAACTCTCATAGGCATTTAACTGAAATTCTTCAAGTTCATTTGGAGGAGTCTCTTCTCACCCACAGCTTTTGCTTCAAAATTAAGCTTCTTAATAGCCTAATAAGCATTATGCTCTAACTCCACAGGTAGATGGCAAGCTTTTCCAAACACCACTCGATAGGGAGACATACCAATGGGAGTCTTATAGGCTGCTCAATATCCCCACAATGCATCATCAAGTTTAATTGACCAATCTTTTCTTGTCACTCCCACAGTCTTCTCAAGCATTTTCTTGATTTCCCTATTAGAAATTTCTGCCTAACCATTAGTTTGAGGATGGTAAGGAAGAACAACCTTATGCTTAACACCATATTTCTTTAAAAGAGTTGAAATTGGTTATTGCAAAAATGAGTACCACCATTACTCATAATAGCCCTTGGAGCTCTAAAACAGGTGAAAATGTGTTTCTTCAAAAACTTCACCACCACTTTTGCATCATTGGTAGGAAAAGCAGCTGCTTCAACTCACTTTGAGACATAATCAACAGCCACAAGAATGTATTGATTGTTAAGGGATCTGGGAATGGTTCCATGAATTCAATCCCCCATAGATCAAACAATTCCACTTCAAGCATGTTACTGAGTGGCATTTCATTCCTTCTAGAGATATTGCCTACCCTCTAGCATCGATCACACTTCAACACAAAATTATAAGAGTCTCTGAACAAGGAAGGCTAGTAGAAACCACATTGTAAGACTTTGGCAGCTGTCTTATTGCCTCTGCAATGCCCTCCACACTCTGAAGAATGGTAACATCTTAGAATTTCCTGTTGTTCACATTTAGGGACACACCACCTAAGTAGTTGATCCATGTATTGATGAAACAAATAAGGCTCTTCCCAAAAGTATGACTTACTATCATGTAAGAATTTCCTTCGTTGATGAGGCTTCAGCTCATGAGGTATAATGCCACAAACAAGATAATTAACAATGTCTGCATACCAAGGAGTCATCATATGGCTAACACTAAAAAAATTTTCATCAGGAAATGCCTCATTGATCACCTTGTTAGCATCTAGTTGAGCATCAGTACTCAATCTAGATAAATGATCAACAACTTGATTTTCTGTGCCTTTTCTATCAATAATTTCTAAATCAAATTCTTGCAACAAAAGCACCCATCTAATTAATCTTACTTTTGAGTCTTTCTTGCTAAAGAGGTATTTTAGAGCTAAATGATAGTGTACATAGTGACTTTGGCTCCCACAAGGTATGGCCGAAACTTCCCAAAAGCAAAGACCACAGCAAGTAACTCTTTCTCTATAATGTAGTTTTCTTGAGCATCGTCTAGTGTGCGGCTCGCATAGTAAATTGAGTGAAACACTCTCTCCTTCTTTTGCCTAAGTACAATACCCACAGCATAGTCACTAGCGTCACACATTACAATCAATGGCAAGCTCCAATTAGGGGACATCATTATAGGAGCAGAAACAAGTCTCTTCTTCAATTCCACAAATGCATTTAAGCAAGCATCACCAAACTTAAATTCAGTGTCTTTCTCAAGCAATGCACAAAGAGGATTTGCTATCTTAGAGAAATCCTTGATAAAATGACGGTAGAAGCCCGTATGGCCAAGAAAGCTCCTCACACCCTTAACATTAGTAGGTGGAGGAAGTTGCTCAATTACAGCAATCTTTGCTTTGTCTACCTCTAGACCATTCTTAGAGACTCTATGGCCAAGAACTATGCCCTTCTTAATCATAAAGTGACATTTCTCCCAGTTTAAGACTAAGTTGGTCTCTTCACATCGTTCCGACACCTTAGCTAAGTTGTTCAAACATTCATCATAAGCATTCCCAAACACAGTAAAGTCATCCATAAAGACTTCCATTGTGTGCTCAATCATGTCAGAAAAGATAGCCATCATACATCTTTGAAAAGTGGCCGATGCATTGCATAGCCCAAAAGGCATACCCTTAAATGCAAAAGTCCCATAGGGACAGGTGAATGTAATCTTTTCTTGATCTTCTGGAGCAATAGCAATTTGGTTGTACCCAGAATACCCATCCAGAAAACAGAAAAAAATCCTTGCCAGCTAATTTATCCAGCATCTGATCAATAAATGGAAGAGGAAAATGATCCTTCTTGGTGTTGGCATTTAACTTGTGATAATCCATGTAAACTCTCCAGCCAGTAATAATACGAGTAGGGATTAGCTCATTGTGGGTGTTAGCCACTACAGTCATATCGCCCTTTTTGGGGACATATTGGACTAGACTCACCCATGAGCTATCAGATATAGGATACATAATGCCTGTATCAAGCCACTTTAGGATTTCCTTCTTTACCACTTCCTTCATGATTAGATTCAATCTTCTTTTATCCTCAATAGAAGACTTATGGTTTTCTTTAAGAAAGATCTTATGCATACAAGTTGAAGGGCTAATACCCTTGATGTCTGCAATAGTCCACCAAATAGCTCTTTTATGAGCTTTTAAGACTTCAACAACTCGTTCTTCTTGTTGAATAGTCAAGTCTGCAGCAATTATGACCGGTAGAGTGCTCTTGGCTCCCAAATAGACATATCGAAGGTGAGAAGGTAATGTCTTCAGCTCAAGAGAAGATGGCTCTTCAAGGGAGGATTTCAAAGTTGGTCTATCATGGGAGGACAAATCTAGTGACTCGAATAGTACTCGACTTCTAGGATAAGTCAGTGTTGAATCTATGATAGCCATACACTCTACTATCTCTTGATTTTCTACTTCAACCCACAACAACACAGCTTCAACGGGGTCATTAATACATGTCCTGTCAAACTCTTTTTGTACCACTTAAGTAAATCAACAAAGAAGCATTGCTCAACCTCATTGGGAGACTTCATTAACTTGTGCATATTGAAAGTGACATGCTCATCATTAGCCTGCATAGTAAGTTCACCTTTTTCCACATCAATCAAGGTTCTAGCGGTGGCTGAAAAGGGTCTTCCCAAGATAATAGGAATTTCTCTATCCACCTCACAATCAAGAACAATGAAATCTGCTGGAAGAATAAACTTATCTACCTTCACAAGCACATCTTCAATAATGCCACGGGGGTAGGCTATACTTCTATCAGCAAATTACAACATCACTGTGGTTGGTCTAGCCTCACCCAACTCCAAATTGTTGAAAATAGAAAGAGGCATCAAATTGACACTAGCTTTAAGATCACAAAGTGCCTTACCCAAAAACTTGCTTCCAATATGACATGGATTCGAAAAGCTACCCGGATCTTTCATCTTTTGAGGTAGTTGCTTAATGATATCTGTAGAACTCTTGGTGAGAGCAACTGTCTCAAACTCAATGAACCTCCTTTTCTTAGAAAGCACATCTTTCATGAATTTGGCATATTTGGGCATCTACTCCAAAGCTTCCACTAAAGGAATGTTGATGTGCAATTGTTTGAATATCTCCAAGAATTTCTTGAATTGGCTGTCATCTTGTTGTTTCGCAAGCCTTTGAGGGAAAGGCAGTGGAGGCATATATTTTGACTTCGCCTCTTGTTGCTTCTTGTGATCTTCACCCTTCTTTTCAGTTTCACTATCATTTCTCTTCTCAGCTTACTTCTTCCTTTGTTGTCATCCTCTTCAACTATAATTTCTTCATCAACTTCCTTATTTTCCTCAAGAATAACTTCATTGCTCGCTCCACTAGGTTTAAGCCCATTCGGTAATTGCTTTCCACTTCACAAAGTGATTGCATTGCATTCCTCTTTACCATCTCTTTTCGGATTAGGAATGGTGTCACTAGGAAGATTTCCTCTTGACATTGCATTCATTTGAGAGGCCAGTTGGCCTACTTGCACTTCAAGATTTTTAATTGCTGTCTCATGGAGGAAAAGAGTAGATTTAGTCTCAGCCCTTGCAGATTCTTGCTTAGCCAAAATTTGAGTTAACATCCTCTCCATCCTAGAATCTTCTTCCTTGTTAGGAATTTGCCTTGATTGTGATTGAAAATCTGGTGGATAAAGTGCTTTAGTACCAGAAGATGACGGATGATTTAATTTTTACCCTTGACTCTAAGAGAAATTAGGATGATTTCGCCATGCTGGATTGGAGGTCTGTAAGTAAGGATTATTCTGAGGATTTTACAGCTTGCCTATGTAATTGACAGATTCAGGAGTCACGGAGAGAGGACATTGATCAGGCATATGGACATCATGACATTGGTCACAAACAATAGGTGTGGCATGAACAGAATGCACACTTTGAGAATTGCTCTTTTGCATCTGGGACTCTTGCACATCAAATCGCTTGTTCATTACTAATAAGATAGCAACAATTTGTGAGGCAGAATCAACCTTAGTAGCAGTCATTGCTTGTGTAGTCTTCCTATCAGTGCTTTGAGTATTATTTATTGCTAGTTGATCCAAGAGTTTAATCACCTCATTAACAGGAACATTACGGTATCCTCTATTAGTTATAGAATCAAGCATTGCCTTAGATTGGGGATTAAGGCAATTGCAGAAAATTTGGACTATCACCCATTTGTCTACCCCATGATTAAGGCATTACTTCGTCAACATCTTGTATCTCTCCCAAGCGACATAAAGATACTGATCTGGATGTTGTCTAAAGCTCAGAAATTCATCCCTAGCTTCCACAGATTTATCATCAGAAAAGAATTGAGCCCTAAATTTGCTTTCAACCTCATTCCAAGAGCTAATAGATCCTTCTGGAAGATTGTTGAACCATCCTCTAGCCTTCCTTTGAAGAGTAAAAGGCAACAACCGGAGTCTAAAGACCTCTTTGGACAACCCATTTTGTTTGAAAGAGCCACACACTTCTAGGAAATACATCAAGTACTTGTTGGCACCTTCATTATAAAGACCATGGAACATCCCATGTAATTGAAGCATTGTGATCATAGCTGGCTTTATCTCAAAGGTATGTGCTTGCATTTCCGGCATCCCAATACAAGATTGGGTGCCCCTCATATTTCGGCTTGCAAAGTCATTGATAGTAGCCCTATCATATTCATCTTCAGCTATGGTTTCAGGTTCAGTGTCTTCGTCAAAAAGATCAATTATGTGCAATACCACTTCCAAACCATCCGAATTCGAAGATTGCATATGCTAGAAGAGTACCTAGCAAAAGAATAAACAAGCAAGTATCAAACTAAAACAAAAACAAAAATAGCTGGACAGAAACTTACGAGCAGTAATTTTATACATATCTATAAACTCAAGCGAAATTTACTAACACTAGCTTAGGTGTCTAAGGGACTCTTAACACCAAATCCCTAGCAACAGTGCCAAAAACTTATTTGCACCGCAAGTGCACGAGTGGTGACAAGTAATAAAGTGATGAGAAAGATCGTTCCCACGATGATTTGTGCAAAAATCAAGACCAAACAAAAGGCCAAGTGAATTTAATTAAATTGAGCCAACCAATTCTTTTGATGGGAAAAGTGAATTTTGAAAGTAACTTTTAAAACTAGAAAGTAATAAAAGTGATTGATTCTTAAACTTCAAGGGATAAGAGGGCCTAGGATTATTCATCCCCCTTGTATTTCATAACCTTTGAATTATCTCCTCTCATAAATGTTCTTAAAGAAAATATGCGTTAGTCTAGAAGTCAAAAAGTACTTGTAAAAGCTTTCAAGCACAGGTATTTAATTCCATTAATTACTCAATCTCTTGTTACGACTAATAAAACCCAATGTTTAAGCTTCAATCCTAAAGTGACTATGCAAGGTTGGTAAGTATATCTCTATCTTACCAATAAAACTATCCATTCAACAAGTAAACTTCAAATTCTTGCACAATTTTACCCAAATTCTACACTTAACCTAACCTTCTCAAGTATCAATCAAATGAACAAATCAACTAAATGGTGATCAAGCATTTAGAAGCATTAAGAAAAGAGTAAAATAAACACATATATATATCATTAATCCCAGAAAGAGAGGAGTAATCAAGAGTTAATCCATACAAGGGTCCAAATAATCCTAGAATAAAGTGTTTAGCTACTCATAATCAACCATAAGCCACAACTATAAAGAAAAATTACAGCCATAGCAGATGACAAGAAAGGAAAGGGAAGAATAGCAGGAAAACCATGAAGAAGGAGTTTCAAATCTCTTCCAAAGCTTAATTCCTTGCTCCAACTTCTTCAGTCTCCCAAAGCCCTAGCACACCAACTCCCTTAAAGCCCATATCTCCCTTTTTCGATCCTTTTCTCTCTTTTTATCACGTCCCTCGACCTAGGATGTGTGCTATCCTCAAAACGCATAGCACCAGTAATCTCCCATTGGCTGCAGCCAAAGCTTATCTTGGCTGCGGCCAATTCCTCTCTGTCTCTTCTATTGGTTGCAGCCAAAAATTCCTGTTGGCTGAGGCGAGCAGCTCACTATTTTGGATCTTTTCTTTGTTTAATTAATTTGCTTCAATTGGCTCCCTTAGCAGGCATCAACTACCTGACAAAACAAAACAGCTATGAAAGCCAAATTTGATGAACTGGGGGCAACATATTAACAATTAACCACAAATCCATAACTTTAGCCCAAGTATCAACTATGCACATTTTCCTATCATAAATGCTTCCAAATATGCACTAATTCACCAAAAAGTATGATAACTAAGGGAAAAGGTGCTGAAATAGCATGAATTTCACAAGGTTAACACCAAACACTAAACCTTTTCTTTTTTTAACCTTAGCCCCATTACAACCTAATGAAAGTGTTTTTAATTTATGCTTGTAATTGCTTTACTAATGGTGAAGAATTTAGATTCTTGTCAAGCCTACAAAAAGAGGATTAGATAGGGTGATTTTGAGTGTAAACACAAGCTAATACACTTTTGAGTGATGAGTGACATACATATTATCTTTGGTGAGGGATTTCTGGCTTATATTCCCTTTTGTCAAGTAAATTGCCATGATGTTTGTTTTTTTAATTCATGAGAAGATTACTTGAATAAGAAAGATGTTAAATGCTTGACTTGCTTTTCACATGTGATTAGAACATTCACTTTTGTTTGATTTTCTTTTGTTCTTTTACTGATCTTTGGTCTTCGTTTGCTTTGCCTGGGAGTGCAAAAAGTAAGTGTGGGAGAATTGATAAAGCTTAATTTTTATATACTTTATCCCATATTAATTTAGGATTTAAATGATATTTTGGGCTTAAATGAACTTTTTATGCATTGTTGAATTAATTGATTGATTTTAGGATTTTTCATAACAATTGGGATTTTGGATTGAAAATATGAATATTTTGTGATTTCCTATTTTTAGCTTCAAATTAATATTTCCTATTTCTTTGGAAATAATTCTCATATTTTTAGAAAGGTTGATTTTTGGAAAGTTTTGTAATTTTTGGCCTTATTTTTGTACATATCTAATATTTAATTTTGATATAAATCATATTATATCTGGATATAATCTATATTAATAGATACACTTAAATTCTTGTTGGTCTAGGAAGAGCATATAAGAAATCCAATGGTGTAAGATTATTTCTTGGAATTCAAGTACAATCCAATAACTAATATCAAATAGGTCAATTAATTATTAATGAACTTAAGCTTTGGATCCAAAAAAATTCTCTTTTCTCCTATTAAAATATTCCCTTCATTCCGTAGCCGCCATTCATTATCAAATCTCTTCCTTCATAACCCTTCCTCTGGTCTCACACGCCTTCATCCATCAACCTCTTTCTTTTTGCCATTCAACTCATTAAAAAAATATATTATTTTGTCCCACTTTCCCTATTCCATTCGGCAAACATCACAGCACCTACAATTCCTTTTCTTGATCCAAGGAGGAGACCACGTCGTCATCATCTTCCCTTCTCTACTCCTCATAGCCGTGGCTTCTGAGAACCTTGGAGCATGAAGGATAATTTTCATGGTAGCTTGAGATTACAGGGAGACAACTGGGAAGAAGCATGGATGAGGCTTGAGCCTTGGGCTAGCATTTAAAGATCACAAGGGAGTGATATTCAATTTATCTTTATAATTCAAAAACTTTAAATAATTTTGAGTTGTATTTTTGTGAAACAATTGAATTTTAGACTGTTTTTCTTATTCTTGGATTGGATTAGATTGATATTTAGATTTTATCTGTGTTGAAATACTTGCTGAAATTTATGTTTATAAACCCTTGCATTGTTAATTGAAGTTATAATTGAATTTTTTAATTATCAACGTGGTTTGAATTGCAAATTTGGATTCTTTGATCTCTTGATTGTTTAATTGAGTGAATAAATTATCTAATTATTTGATTAGATAATTTTATGCATAATTTTCAAAATTAATTTGAATTATTTGTTATTAGTTTTAATGAGTTTAATTAACTAACCTTATACTATTATGAATTCTTTAATAGTTTAAGGATTTTTGAAATTGAGGGTTTTCTTTGTTTCAAGTAGGTAATTAAACTTATGATTTTTGAAATTGAGGGTTTCTTTTGTTTCAAGTAGGTAATTAAATTTATTAATTCCACTCTCTTGCCACTTTCCTTTGGTCTAATTAATTGATTTAAGTTATGAAAATTAACCCCATGAGAATCCTAAGTTACTTTCCTTTGGTCTAATTAATTGATTTAAGTTATGAAAATTAACCCCATGAGAATCCTAAATTGTTTCTTTTACCATACCTGAAAAAAAAACCTCTCACTTTTACTTATTTTAATTTTTTCTCCTAAAAAAACCCCCCAAAATATTGTATTTGCATTCGTTTAATTTAATTTAATTTTTATATAGATTTTAGAATATTAGCATCATGTATTTAAAATTAGAATTTTGAATTTTAGTTTAGATCCATTTGCATTTTTCATTACCTAAATTTTTACTTAAAAAAACCCATAACTTGCTCCTTAGAAGAAATGACCTAGGTTGATCCCAAACTATAAATTAATTAGAACCTAATTTAATTCAATGCTTTAATCACATAGGCATTATCAACTCCTTTAACTTGTAAGCTAAATGAATTAATATATTGAATTCTACTATATTTTTTACCTTTAAATTTCGACTCAACAAATCAACGGAGCTAAACTAGCTATGAGTTCGTCAACTTCAACCCATTTTAACAGCTCAACCCTTCCTCTCAATAGATTCCACGATCCTGTAAAATTCCACTCAGCCATGCCATAGTAAAATTCACAGGGAAGAGTTTTCTTTGTTAAACCCTTCGTACAATCACCATGGATTCCCCTAATCAATCCTCCCCGAGAGTAATACGTCAGTCTTACTTTTTCCTTTGCTCAGCCTGTTGCTTTCTTTGCCTGGCACTGACAATAACTGAACTTATAAGCCTAGCATAAAAGTGAGCAGAGATCTAAAAACTTTGTCATCAATTCACATAAAACGACTCTCAAGTCATGTTACAAAAATATGTAGGTTGGTTTAGATTCTAACCAACCAATCAACATAACAAAAGAAAACTCAACAAGGAATTATCTACATTCACAAGTAATACTTCTAATATAGGAATATTCATTCCTAAATCATAATGAAGTGAATTCAAAAGGCAGATTTATCACTTTACGTAACACCAGGCAAGTGGTAGTTCCAATAAAAGTTCCAGAAAGAATAGGTATCATCCTAAGTAGGAGCCCAATATGACACCCTACATGTCAATCTCATCTTATGTGGCAGTTCATGAAGCATTCAAGTTCTATTCAATTGTTAGTGGTTTGGAAAATAGATCACGCCATTTATGGTTTGTGATTTGTGATTTGTGAATAATACTCCCTCCGTTCCTTATTATAAGAGACGAATAACTAATTTACGTTGATAAAAAAAACAGTTAAAATTAGTTAAGAACAATCAATGTGTAAAAAGTATAATTTTTTTTTCCAAAACTGCCCTCATTAATAAGGAGAGAGAGCATGAGAGAGAACAATTAAATTATTAAAAGAAAGAGAAGTGGGAGGGAGAGAGAGTGTGTGAGTTGGAGACAATAAATATGGGTAAAATAGGAAATCAACACAAAAAAGTAGAGACAACTTTTAAGTGTCTCTTATATATAGGAACATGCCATAAGCATCAAATGTCTCTTATAATAAGAAACGGAGGGAGTACAATTTATAAGAACTTAAGTCCTCTGCTTTTTTTAACATAGAATTACACCGGATCTCCCTAGACATCATCAGATCAAATTTACATGGAAAAATTAGAGGATACAAAAAATAAAAAGTTATAAAAGACCGTGTAAACTTTCCAAAAAAGAAAATATCGCTACAAACTGTTTCTAACAAAACTAATCGTAACTGTTTTGTACACTTTCTTTCTATCAAAAAGTATACAAGGGAGAAAACTAATACAAGATTACATTATTACCTTGTGAAACCCAATACGCAGAGTTAATTCAAGTATGAATAACTAGCAAGTTGCAAACCAGGGAGAGGTCAGGTCATCATCCAGCTTTAGAATCAATGTGGTGACCAGTCATAACCAGACATTGTCTCATCAAAAATTCCCGAGTAAATTACAGTAGTTGTTGAAAGATGACTTCTCAATTTGGTTCTTCAAATTATATAACACTTTCAATTCTGTTTTTCAACAATTTCTTCCAAATCATTTTCGAGCCCCATCAGTTGTAAGGCATGAAGACTAATTTCCTAGTTTGGTCATTTGAAGGGGCAGAAATTATTGGAGAAAGATTACTGAGAAACTGGACTGGGGGTTACTATTTAAATGATCAAATTACGTAGTTAGTGTTTCATTTAAGAAAACAGTAATTTACTCATTGTCCATAGAAAGGGACACCAGATCACAATGCTGAACTTGACATATATTTACCAGTGCATCAACGTCAGCACGATAAGAGGAAACAAGAGCCGTCATTTCAATCAACAGACATCCTTGTTTCTGCATTGACATGATTTTACCAGTTAGATTCAGATCATTGGTCACATTCACATGCATAGAGCAGCATGTAAGATGGGCATGGTCAGTAATAAACAATATTCAAATTTGAAACAAGTCTCAATGATAGCAGAGGTTCAAATTTGAAACAAGTCTCAATGATAGCAGAGGTTAGACAATATTTCTATCACATTTTACTAGAAATATGAAGCACCAAAATCTTAACACTCCCAACTCATGAATTGAGATCTTGCCCCCATCATTTTGACAATCATATCTATGATGTGAGAAAACCAACCGTGAAGTTAGCAGAATTTGCTTAAATCAGCGAAGCTATTTATTCTGATTATGTTTAAAAGAGTCAAGTTTGCACAAATGCAACCAGATATTTGACATGTAATAACCATCAAATCAAATACAAAGTATAAAACGTATAGGGAGTCAAATTATTCACAAGTTGTGAACGGCGCAGCTCATTTTCTTCATACAAATGAATAGGGGCTCCCTCTAGTCGATTTAAAAATACAAGGGCTTCATAGCAAGTGACCAAGGTTAAAAAGGGGCTCATTCAATACAGCACACGGCTTCATGGAAAAGAATATTCTTAAAAGACCTTGTTCTGGGATGAGGATAATTCAGAGAAATATGGGCTTCCCCCAGTAGTTGATAGATAACGTGGATTTGCTAAGTTCTGGTTGTTAATTCACATAGTATTCAGAAAAATCCGTTCCAATGAGTTCAGATTAAAATAAATCTTGCCTTGATACTATTTACTGTGAGAGACAATGTAGGGGAGAGATAATCATTTGGTGAGTTGTAGAAAGCGAAAAAGGTGAAGAGAAAAACAAATGTGTTCCAAAATCACACTTCTAAAGTTAAAACATTTACCAGAAATCCTAACTGGGGGATAACAATGATATTCTTTGAAGTTCAAACAAGAAGGATGCCAACTGATAAAGCTTTGAACCCTTACGGGAGGTAAAACCTTTCTGCCATAAAATTACTAGATGCACATAAGGATTGATTGAAACCCAATCCTCATTCAAATCCGAAGTTGAACTTTGCCAGGTGAAAGAATTATAGTCCTTGCTAATTTGAAAATTTTAGAGAAGCTACGCTCCATGACAATATCACTAAAAATCTCTCATTAAAGAGCAGAACATAAGTGATAACTTAAGAACACCAAAGGATAGGGAGATAGAATGTTTTCCACTAAAAAGAGTTCAAAATATGAACACTCACCATATTGCCAAGGCTACTTCTTGTGCCAGAGCTCCTCCTCTATGGATTCAAATTCTTTTAAATCATCAATTACATGATGAATTTTGTCGGAAAGCTTTTCATTGTGCTCTTCAACAACTTTCATAAAAGCAGTTAGCTGTTCTTGATATGTGGCACACAACCGCTTTTTATTTCGGAGCTCTGCTGTTAATTCCTGTATTTTCTTATCCTTCTCGTCCTAAAACAGTGCAATAAGTGAGAAATACTTGATTCAGGACATGATTGCAAATTCATAATCTCTTCTATAGGGTAAAGAGAGACAGATTATGCTGCCTACTTGATGCAAATTAAATGATAGTATATAATTAAGAACATGTGCAATAAGATCTGCTTCGTATGTCCACAACAGAAGAAAATTTTGCCACAGAAGGAGTTTATTTATTAACGTGACTATTTGATTGATTAATATGAAGTTTCCAGCAAGGCTGCTCAGCTTCACTAGAAATACTTGTCTGCATGGATGCCACATTTAACTAATCCAGTGTATAGCCTTTTCATATTTATCTGATAAAAAAATATAAATTTCATATTTATCTTCCTCATAAAATTAGATATATTTTTCAGTCTTAAACAATTAACACTTAATCATCAACCTGCTGCCTCTACTAATCTTGCAATCAAATGGATCAACTGATTTTATGGCCCAGAAAAAATAGGTGACTCGTCCTGCATTCAACCATTTTTCTGTCCCCAGCGCTATTCTTGCCTTTTTTTTTTTTTTGTTTGTTTGGTTGACAAGGGAAGGTGGAGTTAATCATGCAATAGCAGGTCATATAAGATACTCATACAAAGACAAGCATTCTTTCAAGATTTTTTTCTCAAAGATCTTACCCATAAAATCTCATCACAAGCAAGTTACTTCTAATGCACGCTATTAGAGAGGACAGAGCATGATTTAAGTTTAATTTGGGTCAAAGGCCAAAATACCTCTATGTTTATTAATCCCCTCATATATTTTAATATGATAACTTCAGAATCGTAGGTAATTTTACAACCAAGTTTCATTGGATTCCAAAGCCCTGATCTTGATGGATACTCAAGTCAGATAGGAAACTGTTGGAAACTACTCCAGAATTCTGTATTACGCACTGAATCGGAAAACAATCCACAGGGGATAGCCTAATGGATGATACAACCAAGAGGTAACCCAATGGCCTAGTGCATTCAAGAAGCACCACTCTCCTCACCACTCTAACAATTTCCATATCCCCTGTTCCTAACCAACACATGCTTATATCCTTTCCTCCCATCTAACTGTCACTACATAAATGCCATCATTACCCTCATCACACAATTCACACACCCGCCCTCCTAGATTGGATTATATATGGGCTTTCTTTCTAGCATACGTAAACTAAGGTCCATGCTCAACAATACCCCCCCCCCAATGAAGAGTCGCCTTGTCCGTAAGGCAAAAGTCAGGAAATTGCTGTTTGATAACATCGTAGTCCTCCCAAGTGTTATCACTGTCAGGAAGTTTGGCCCATTTGATGAGGAGCTCAATCTGACCGTTGGTCAATTGGCGGTGCTGGACAACCTGTAAAGGAACCACAGGAAGTTCCAAGTCTTTAGTCAAATATGCAGGCAAAGGCTGTGGCAGGGCGTCAGGAGAGAGGGACTTCTTTAGTCGAGAAATGTGGAAGATAGGGTGAATACGTGCAGTCTCTGGAAGCTGAAGACGGTAGGCCACCAAACCTACACGCTCGACCACTGAGAACGGCCCATAAAAACGAGGACTCAATTTCTCGTTGGGCCTCCTAGCCAAGGAACGAAAACGATACAGTTGCAGCCGTAAGTAAACTTTGTCTCCTACTATAAATTGGAGTTCTTGACGTCGCCTATCACTGTAAGTCTTCATATACTGTTGAGAATGCTCCAAATTCTCCTTCAGCTCTGCTAAAATGAGGTTTCAGCTACAAATTTGCTCATTAACAGCCTCACAAGTAGAGGTGGGCTCTTGCAAACGAAACAAGGTAAGAGGGTCTTGGCCATACAGAGCTCGAAAAGGAGGCATGCCAGAAGAGCGGTTGTAATTGGTATTAAACCAATACTCAGCCCAACAGAGCCACTTGGACCAAGATGATGGTGTATCGCTACAGAAACATCGTAAGTAGGTCTCAAGGCTACAGTTAACTACCTCAGTTTGGCCGTCACTCTGCAGATGGTAACTGGAGCTGTATTTAAGAGAAGTGCTAGCAGACTTGAAAAGCTCCCTCCAGAAAGTACTGAGGAATAACTGATCTCTGTCAGACACGATAGAATGTGGAAAGCCATGTAGGCGAACAACTTCTTTAACAAATAAGGCTACAACCTGAGCAGCAGTATAGGGGTGACGCAGTGGCAAGAAATGAGCATATTTCGTAAACCTGTCCACTACCACCAGAATAGTGTCAAAGTGTTGTGATTTAGGTAGTACAGAGATGAAGTCCATAGATATATCTGTCCATACCTGGTTTGTAATTTGTAAGGGCTGCAAAAGACCAGCAGGGCTAAGGGCCAAATGCTTATTTTTTTGGCAAACATCATAGGCTCCCACATACTTCTGGATATCACGACGCATGCCATCCCAATAGAATAAGTGAGACAAGCATTTATAAGTTCTAAGATACCCCGAATGACCTCCAATAGGTGAATCATGAAATTCACGTAGCAAGACAAGAATTCGAGAGGATGATTTCGGGAGTACCAGATGGCCATTGAAAAGGAGATGCCCGCCCTTGAGTGTATATCCCGTCAGAACCGACTTGCCTGTTGCCAAGGATTGTATAATTGGCCCGAAAGTCGCATCTTGTTGAACCTCAGTATCCCAAGCATCCATAGCAATGAGTTGGGCCATAGAAATGGCCTGAAGGTCAAATGTCTCGTCTCTCCTAGATAGCACATCAGCGGCAGAATTGGTAGTACTTGGTTTGTACTGTATCTGAAAGTTATAGCCCAATAATTTGGACACCCAACCTTGTTATGAATCCTCCAAAACCCGCTGCTCTAATAAAAACTTGAGGGTTTTTTTATCTGTTCAAATAATAAAAGGGCATCCCAATAGATAATACCTCCACCTGCGGACAGCAAAGACAATTGCCATCAATTCCCTTTCAAAAACTGACATCTGGCAACGTCGTGAATATAGGGATTGGCTATAATACGCCAAGGGTCGACCAGACTGCATCAATACCGCCCCTAACCCAGTACCAGAAGCGTCTGTTTCCACAATGAATGGTTGAGAAAAATCAGGTAATGCTAACACTGGAGCGGATGTCATAGCTGTTTTGAGTTTGTCAAACATTGCTTGGGCTTCTGCAGACCAACAGAAAGCATTCTTTTTTAACAAATCAGTTACGGGTGCCGCAATCATACCATAGTGACACACAAAACATCGGTAATAACCTGTCAATCCAAGGAATCCTCTCAAACTTTTCATCGAAGCAGGGATTGGCCAAGAACTCATACTCTTGATTTTAGATGGATCTGCATGGACCCCCTCAGTAGATATAATATGGCCTGAGTATTCCAATTGGGACTGAGCAAACACACACTTCTTAGTGTTGATAACTAGAGAATGCTGCTATAAAAGTTGCAGAGTGAGCTGTAAGTGCTGCAAGTGAGAAGACCGGTCGCCACTGTAGATCAAAATGTCATCGAAGAACACAAGAATAAACTTGCGAAGGTGCTGCCGAAAGATGTCGTTCATGAGGGACTGAAAGATTGATGGAGCATTTTTCAAGCCAAAAGGCAGAACTAAGAATTCATAATGGCCGTCGTGAGTACGAAATGCAGTTTTGGATTCTTCCCCTTGCTTCATGTGAATTTGGTGATACCCTGATTTTAAATCTATCTTAGAAAAAATCCGTACTCCACCCAGCTCATCTAACAGCTCCTCAATCGCCGGTATAAGGAACTTATCCTGGATGGTCAGCTTATTTAAAGCTCGGTAGTCAACATAGAACCTCCAACTATCATCTTTTTTTTTTTCACCAATAGGACCGGGCTTGAAAATGGACTTTTGCTAGGACGAATGATTCCAGTAGTTAACATCTCCTGAACCAGTCATTCAATCTCTGTTTTCTGACTGTGAGGATAACGGTAGGGACGAACATTAGGGGGATTGGACCCAGGTTGCAAATCAATGGTGTGGTCGGTGTTACGGACAGGGGGAAGGCTTTGCAACGGGGTTTGAACTACAAGGAACTCCCCTAATACTGCCTAAACGTCGTCACTGATTGGTGAAGCCGTTAACTTGGTCATCTTTAATTCAGAGAATTCAACAAAGAAGGCCTCCTCATCACTCCTCATCGACCGGTATAAGGAATTATAGGACATAGGGGTCTTGTGCAGTGCCGAATTCCCTTTAAGGCATACCCAATCACCACCCATATCAATCTTCAAGGTAGACCGCTTCCAGCTTACCAGACCTCATCAAGGGAGGCCAACCAATCAACTCCCAAAATAATATCAAATCCGCCCAATCTGAATAGGTATAATGAATGAATAATGTGAAGTCCCTGAACATGAATGGAAACATCTCTGCAAACCCCTATACCCTGAACATTGCGAGCGTCCCCAACTTGTACCGTAAAAGCAACAGTATGATCATAAGGGAGGGGGAGAGATTTGACCAGATCCCAGTGAATAAAGCTATGAGTGGCCCCACAATCAATGAGAATTAAGACATCCTTACCACAACCGACAAGTTTGATGGTCTTACCACCAGTAAACCCCGCCAACAAGTTCAATGATAATGACATCAACTACCCCGTGGATACCCCGGTTTCATCAGGGTTAGGATCCTGCTCCAACGGGTCACCCGACCCAGGTAGAGGAATTTTTCTTCTTCCTCTTCCACTTCCTCTGACAGTATAAGCACCTGAAACTGTTTCTTCTTGCAACAACGATTGGGTCGGTACTTCTCATCACACTTGAAACAGAGGCCCAGCTCTTGGCGTCGATCAATCTCAGCATCAGTCAACTTCCTGGGTATTGTTCGGCTAGTTTGAGTGACAAGGATGGATACCGCCTTCAAACTCTTAGGTGTCCTTGTTTCCGTAGTGGCACTCTAGCCTGTGACCACTGTAGTGTTGCTCGGGCCAGATGAGGAGTGGACCCGTGTGGATGTGGTTCGCGTGACAGGTCCTTTGTCGTCAACCCAATTTCGTGGAGGCCCCACCCCGCATGAATAGTGGTGGCTAGAGAAAACCAATTCTGCTCCTCCAACCGAAGTGCCATGTCCATTATCTCAGACAACGTCCCGAGCTTCATTAGACGGAGGTCCGCCTTTATTTCCATCCGTAAGCCGTTTAAGAACGCGGCAATCAAAACCTCCTCGTCACAATTATCTAAGGTTGCAGATATCAACTCGAAGCATTCAATGTAATCTACCACTGACCGAGTCTGTCGTAGAGCCATTAACATCTCATAAGTGGTAGCATATTGAGAGGGATGGAACTGCAGGATCAAGTCATGCTTCAGCCCTTTCTAGTCACCCACTGGAGAGCGGACTTCTTTCCACTGGAACCAATTTAAAGCTCAACCCTCCAAACACAACACGGCAACATCCACCTTGTCTCCTTCAATCACCTTATTGACTTTGAAGTAGCGCTCAATCTTGAAAATCCATCCCATAGGTTCCTTACCCGAAAACAGGGGCATATCGAGCTTACAAAATGTAGAATGTTCCGAATCAACATTACCACCCCAATCCTCAACCGCAATAGCTGTAGAGCCAACCGTCGGAGTTTTAGGCCAACGCAGTCGAATCACCCTGAGTGACCTCCGAAACGTTGGGCTACTTCCTGGACCACAGCTCATTTAGAACATCAGTGACCATTGTCTTAATGATCACAAACTCATCAAACAGCTGTTCAACCTTCTGCTCATTCTAGGTCATGCGTGAATTGATTTCTTTCATTTGGCTATCACGACAGGTATTGACCATTCCAGGAATGCGTGCTCTGATACCTTTGTTGGAAACTACTCCAGAATTCTATATTATGCACTGAATCGAAAAACAATCCACAGGGGATAGCCTAATGGATGATACAACCAAGAGGTAACCAAATGGCCTAGTGCATTCGAGAAGCACCACTCTCCTCACCACTATCTAACAATTTCCATATCCCCTATTCCTAACCAACACACGCTTCTATCCTTTCCTCCCATCTAACTATCACTACGTAAATGCCATCATTACCCTCATCACACAATTCACACACCCGCCCTCCTAGATTGGATTATATATGGGCTTTCTTTCTAGCATACGTAAACTGAGGCCTAACAATTCAGCTGGTTTCAATTTTCAGTTTAATATATTTATTTTGATAGTAGGGACAACATGCCTGCCTCCTTAGCTCAACAAAATCTAGGGCAAATCACCATTAATAAGTTTTTAGTAAATATATCCTAATAATATCTAAACAAATCTTATCCTAAAAAATAATCAGATAAGCTAGAAAGATACTATACTGAAAACCACAATGAATAAAATAAAAATACAACAAACCAACAAAGAAAGAAGGCATGCTAATCGACACTCTTAAACATAAGACTTGGATACCCTATACTAAGTCTATATCAATTTTCCCCACATAAAGAATTAACATCCCAACAACCATACTATATGACACTTTACTTGGAAACACTTCACTTGAATTCCATGTTGGTTAGAACCCTCTATAAGTAGTCCTTTCCAAAGCCGCCAACAATCAGCTTTGGTACTAATTGATGTGTACTCAATGGGCTAAGGAAACCTCTCCCAAAGGCTAGCTATTAAGGTGGAAGAACCAACTAATTTAAATACCCTATCTAGCATCCCAGGCTATTCAATGTGGAACTTAAATACCCCTACTTTGCTACCATAGTATCCACCGCCTTGAATACAAAAGCATCAAATTTAACCCACAACATATCAGTTTTCTTAGAGAGGTTTATCCTCCAGTGCAATTTTCCATTTAAAGTTGCATTAGATTCAGAAAGAAATATGTCATCAGCTTACTTTCTCTTTGTTGGACATCATGAAAGAGACTAATATATGGCTTTTCTTTCACCACATAATATTAAAATTAACTAGGGAACAATGTCACATGCTACTTAAAGCATTCACTATGGAATCACCAAGGCAGAAAATAACGATCGCCAACCAATAGAAATGAATGAAATAGAGACGCTACTTGTTGTGAGGAGCACATTGAACAACAGATATAAACTATATACAGCGAAGTAGGATAACTATATACAGCATAACTAAAATGATAACTCCTCTTCAACCTCTCTCTTAATAGAAAAGCATCTGAATAGAAAATTAGTTTTTAAAATCCTTACTCAAGCATATTTTTGGGAGGGGTTCATCTTTATCATGCAAACTTGGGTTAAAGTCTAAGTAAATTCATTGTTTTTTAATTGGCAAGATTCTTTTCGCCATTTTAATTTCTCCTGTTGGACATTATGCAAGTGCCTAACCTAAAATTTTTGCCGACATATATAATACCAATATTAATTCACAAACATTACCTTAGGCCATTTATAAAGTTTATAAGCTAGACGAGAAACAATAGTCACTAACCTGTTGGAACATAACTAAAAATTGCAATAGACAATTTTAGAAATTCGTTAGTATACAGTCAAACAAGAAACATAAACCTACCATTGTTTGGCAAGCTTCACGAGGGGAAACTATCAGAGGGTGATTATGATCTTTAACAAACTTAGTTATCACCCATTTTCCAGACTGATTATATTTGACATGAACCATCGCTTTACAACCTTCTCTTGTGCTTGGCCTTTGCTTTCGAACAGGTCCGAATTTCCCTCGAATGCTGACACAATGACCCTCCTTATTGCATCCAAGCCTGCGGGCAAGAATCCTTCCATCCCTTTCAGAGCGTCTACAAGACATAACACGCATGACAAACCCTACACGCCGAGCATATTCATCATAGAATATCTTAGCAGCATCTTCAGATTCAAATTCCATACTCTCATATGGTTCTTGGATGGCACGGTCATCACAAATGCCAAACTCTCCCTGAGAAGAACTCCCTAACAATCTGCACCTCTCATCTGGAGGCCACAGAACAATATCTTTATCCTCATGATCATGCACTTTTCCATTTAAAATATAATAGAAAATACAGGAGTTAATATTTATGACTCTGTTGTTTCATAATAACAGAGAAGGGAGACAGGTGGTTAAACTCAACTTTCCGTAGGTTAATTCTTGAGAGTAGTTAAATTAAGTATGATGTGTATTAGGAAGGCCTAGAGGTTGCATTTAACTATAAAGAGCAAACCAATCATATCTAACGCACATTCAATTCTTTTCTTTGCCTATAGTGTACCCCTCCACAAAACGAAGGAAGGAAGGAAGGAAAGGAAAGGAAAAAAGGAAAACCAGAGGCGTCCAGTGGAGCTCTTCCATACAAAAATGACATTATTTCTTTACAATTTTTCAAGTCTAACATGCACATATTGAATTAAGAAATAGAAAACATAATGACAATATTAAGCAAATCAAATGTTGAAAATAGAAATAGAAAACACAGCTTACATAAACCTATTGGAACATTGAGATTTGAACGCAAGTTTTGACATTAAGTGTAGAAATCTGAGTGAAGCAACCATTGACAATATGTCATACATGAACCTCGTATGAAAAATTAATAGAATCAATATTCATGCTCTCGTATTTGAGATTGCAAGACTACAAAAATCAAAATGATGTTGAATAAGTGATTCAAAAGGAGGAATGTCATAGAGAAAAGCATGCCCAAGAAATCACAGTAACACAGAAAATTCATGTAAATACGCTATAAATAGTAAACTAGAAAACAAGGAAAATTGAACCTGAGTGACTGGGATTTCATTAGGGCCATTTAACAAGTTTCAGGGTTGTCAATTCACAATGTAAAGCTGGGCTAGCTTGAAAAGCAGCAACATTGTGAAGTGAACTTCAAGCGATTACTTCAGAGTTGATTACTGATGAATGTTCTCTTTAGGCCTCATGTCAAGATATTTCCCACATTTAAATATATGTGACCCTGTTTCTAGTGTAGATTTTTCAGCTTATATTAACTAACAAAGTGTTGAAAAGTCAGATATAATGCTTCACATGTACCATTATCAAGCACAATAACTTGAATGAACAAATGGATATTGTTGCACACTAGTCAAACCAATATTTATCTATTTTGGAGGAAACTAGGGGATAAATTAGCAGGTAGATTAAAGACACAAGGATAGAAAAAGATGCAGGTTTTTCCCATTATAAATGCATTGCAATATAATCTCTCAGAAAATAGTCTTTCTTTGGTTCAAGCAACATACCTTTGTATGGTTCTTCAATTGTTTGAGCTTCATACATACTAAAACTGGCATTTCCAGAGGCTTCCATTCTCCTGTTTTCATCACCCATGTGGCCTTCCATGCTGTATAATATATGATATCAACTCTCTACAAATAGAAAGCACCTAATAATCAAGAATCTCTGAAGAAATAGCATATTGATATACAGATGAAGCTTGAGAGTTTTATTTAGTACAAGAATAAATTTTAGAAGTGCAGAGTTGAAGTTGAACATGTCATTCTCATAAATATGACACTCTTTTATGGTTATCAAAGGACAAGTTTATTTCAGATGAAATAAAGTACTAAAGAACCTAGATTTTTCATCCCCTTCCACTTTTTAGAAATTTCAATTCAACTACTCTTGAGGTGGAAGAACATTATTGTTACCCTTTTCTTTTTGACTCCACCCCACACTTTTTTGTGCGCAGGTCAGGAACATTAAAGCTCCATTTTCTCTACCATTTTATTCCTTTACCTTTCATTTTCAGCTATTGTGCTTCAGATACATAGAGAGAAGGGTGAGAATAATAGCTGGGAAGATGCAGAACAAAGAATGGGGCCATCTGTTTAGGCACCATACATTCATTCTCCTCAATAACTACAGCAGTATAAAGTTGTTTTGACCCAAACAGGAACACCATTTCATGATCAGAGTTTAAAGCATTGAAGAGCTTCCTCCTAGTCAACGTTAAGGCAGAGCAGGGCATGATGGCAGGTCCAAGCAACTAGAGTTTTGCCTATAGCCACCCCAACCCACCATATTGTCGTTGGAGATCAAAACTTCCAAAAAGAAAATTGAAATCATGATGATTACTCACATTATCGAAATATTTACTAAATGTTTGGCTCAAACTAGAAAACGCACAGCTAAACAAACACGTCATAACTGAAAATTCAGGCCATACATTCCAATTTAATGTTAAAACACTTGAGTTTACTATCCAAACTCCAAACAGAAAAATAATAGAGTATTTGAAAAAAAAAATATATGTAAATAATCTGTGTCATCTAACATCAGCCACAATCACACATTTATTCATCATTCCTATCAACAACATCATAAACATATTTTTGAGAAAGAATTGAGAATAATAAGAAGTACATACTAATGACATCAACTACGCAAAGCAACCTTAGTACTTCATTGCTATTCGAGAAAAGTAACACACAACCACAACCAGTCCAAAATCTAAACAGAATTCAGATCATGAACATCAAAAGTAGGTCCCCAACTCTGTAAAATCATTAAGAAACACCGATTAACGGCTTGGCGGAGCAGAAGAAAAGCAGCTCCAGTTTTGGCCGCTTTGCCTTCGACAGTAGTCTCCAGTGATCTCGGAGAGGCAGCAATTTTAAACTTGATCGGAAAAAGAATAGACACTACACTGGCCTTGGACCACGCCGTCAAAGAAGCGGCCGGCGGTGGCGGTTATTCGACGCGTCTCAGGCCCCCACCGGTTTAGTGAGCAACAGTGACAGTGGGCTGTTAAGAGTTCAGTCTCAACATGCTGAAACCAAAGCTCCGATGATTTTGGGCCGTTCCATATAGACGTATCAAACAGCATTCCCATTATGGCTTCCTTGGGCTTCACGCTTGTATGCTTTTATCCCTCTTGGTTTCCCAAAGCCCATTAATACCTTTGAAATTTGTTATTTTGTTTTAAATGTTTGTTTTTTTTTTTTTGGGTGAGGCACAATGATTTGCAGGTACTCCTATAATCTTACACTCTGTTTGGATGGGGAAAAAAGTTAAGAGGAAAGAAAATGAGAGGAGAGAAGATAGAGAGAAGAGAAAATTGGAGAGAAAATATTACCACCTCTCATATTTGGATGGACAAAAGAAAATAGAAAGGAAAGAAAATGAGTAAATATATGAATGACTAAAATACCCTTTCTCTTATATCAAAATATATATTAATTAAAATCAAATTAAATATCATAATGAAAAACCATATTTACATTAACATAATTATATAATTTAAAATCAAATTATTTGATAAAGATACATTATCATGTTATTATATTTTCATATCAAATAATTTTGTAAAAAAAACATTTTGTGTAATGTAATGCTAAAAAAACTAAAACAACAATTCTACTTGTTTTTCTTTTCAGTTCATTTTAGAAGGATTTTTTCAATTTTAGTTATTTTATTTTTCAATCAAGCAAACACAAAAGAAAGACTTGATAATAATAAATAAAGTGAAAAATGAAGAAAAAAATAAATAGGTATTATTTGCTGGAAAAACATATGTAAAGATAGAGAGGAAAAATATGTTTTCTTCTCATTTTCTCTCCATATGGAGAGAAAAGTTGGAAGAAAATGGGACGTGAGACCCACCTCATTTTCTCCCCAACTTTTCTTTCCTCCCACTTTTCTTCCTTCATCCAAACAGGAGAAAAATCATTTCTCTCCCTATTTTTTTTCCTAGTTTTCCTTTCTCCCTTATTTTCTCTCCATCGAAACGTAGCATTAAATATAGAAACTAATTAGCAAGTTAGTTTTGATATTAAATTTAAGATTTTAATCTATTTTATCTCTTATATTCATCGTTTTTTCTTATTTATTATTTTTTTCTTATAATAATTCATTTAACTTATAAATTAATATATAATTAAATATTATATACGTATATTTTAAAGAGATCAAGACACATTTTTTAAGATTAAGTAATTTATTTACTTTATGTTTGGACAGAGAAAAATTATGGAAGAAAGAATACTGTAAGAGCAAACTCCCTGAAATTGTTAAAAAAATTTACTATTTTTGGAATTTTCCATCCCCATATTCCTCCTCCCTTATTTTACTCTCACGTTTTCCCCTTCAATTATAGTTTCCTTAATTTGTTCAAATCAATGAAGTAGTTTTTACATTATATCAAAGAATTATAATTTTTCTCGATATATTAAGCGGAACATCCTTCCTTAAACTCCTTTTAGTACGCGTTCAAAAGCATTACAGCTCAAGCAGTTTGTGAAACGAGCTCGCAGATTGAAAATTTATAATATTCAGGGTTACTATTCGCTAGTCAATTCTATATTTTTAGTCCAATATTGAAAAATCATAACTAATTATAGAAAAATCATATTGAGGTGATTCAAAATTATATTTGAAGCTCTTTCTATGATTCATTTTCTTGCTCAATTCATACAATTAATTGCGAGAATTTTACTGTTCATTTGGTCAAAACAGTGTTCTTAAGATTCTCTACCATAGTTTTGAGTAATCATACCTTTTAGCACACACATCCAATTTAAGTGATTTACAACTTGTTTTAAAGTTTAAGATGTGATATAGATGCTCACCAAATTTTATAGGAAGATTCGTTCATTTACCTCACTTCTACTCTATCACTATTTTGTGACTTGTTTAGAGATAATTTATCTCCCTAACTTGCAATAATATTGCATAATGAATTCCTCTCTTTCATGTTATCATTCTATCGATCCATAAACTATTCATATACATTATCTCATTCAGTCATACATGTCAATACCATCATACATGCATACCATCCATAAAATGTTTATGAATATATTATCATAACATATTACATAACATTAGTGGCATATTCATATCACACATTCGCATACAAATTACACAATGTAATATGACACATTTCCTCCATTCTTTTCCTCTTTTCCCTACTTCTACTTATGCATCCTCTTGCTTGCTCATTGTCACCTATTAGGGTTGGTTAAGAGAGGGTGAGATTCAAGAGAATCTCTGTAGCAAACATTACCTTTCATGCATGCAAGATAAATGCAAGTGTATCACATGCTTGGTATTGTTAGAAATTGTGCCCTAGGGGCCAATCATTGTGTTATGAACATTGTTGATTTATGAGTTTCTTAATTATGTTATCATATTATTTGAATGTTTACTGTGATGACTATCCTTGGATAACTCATGATTTTATCCTAAATATCCCTGATCGGTCATCTATGTGGGAGTAGAGATGAAATAAGACCAGTATGACTTTGAAGATGTATAGAGATATAAATCAAAGTCATAGGCACATGTAAGAGTACAAGGTGTTGGACCGACCCGCTATGAGGGAGCTGTATGGGTTAAGTCATAAGCTTCTCTCATATATAAACCATGTCACTATGCCCTTTGACCTGAAATCATCATGGATTCCTACATAAGAAACGCTCAGCTTTGATCTAGTCAAAAGTCACTTTTGACCGAGTGATCATAAAGACTATGTTCAAGCTTAGTGGTTTTTCATGCGGAGGAATGTGAATGGTCAAGATGGAATTTGTCTCTCACATTTGTAGAGAGATATTACTGGGCCCCTCGATGAGTGAGTCTGAGAAATGTATGGCCATACTATAATGGAAAGGTAGTTCCATTTCTATACTCAGACTACTCAGGGATCGAGAAAGTAACGGTCAGGAATAGGAGGATGACGTTCTCCATGCCTCATCCATGACCAAAATGTCGTGTGACAAAAGGGACGTGATATAGTTGTATGAAAGGTTACATCATTCATCGATGCTCATATGATTTGGGTAGTCGTGATGTCTTGCTAGAGACCGCTTACGACTTGTGAGTCATTATAGTAAATGGTCCACTGCCAACTTCATATGGGCCTACAGGGTCGCACACAAAATAGCCCAACACGAGCTATGATGTCCAGATTCATTGAATCTAAGATATGTCCAAATTCAATGAATAATCTAGGGTGGACATGTATATATATATATATATATAAATTCGCATATATATATATATTATACGATATAAGAGATATTTATAAGATTTGATTTATAAGGATAAATTAAATCTCTATCACTTTTAAATTTGAAATTTAGATTGATATGATATCTTAGATTTGATTTATTGGGATAAATTAAATCTATATCAGTTCTAGATTGATATGGTATAATATAATATCTCAAATTTGATTTATTAGAATAAATCAAATATAATTCCGTCATATCTTTATTTTGAATTAAATTTGTGGGACGGATTTAATATAAACCATATTTATTTAATTGATTTCTTATCAGATTACGCAATATATGATATTGTATTAATTTTAGAATTAATTTAGGATTAATTCTGAAATCCAATATCCTTCATAATACCGATAGCATTCTATATATTTGATATTTTAGGAGCTAGGGTTTTAGGTGTGTGAGAGAGCAAAAGGTTTGCAGATAAGAAACGGCCAAAATAGAAACTGTGAGGACGGATTCTCAGAAAAGCCCTAGAAGGACAAGAGGCGCTAGCACGTCATTCGTGATTGGAACGCTGTTCGTGTGGATACCGGTAGAGAAAGCCGATCTGAGTTGTCGACTTCTCACGAACAAAGGGAGAGCATAGGCATCCCGAACGTCGGAATCCCCGAGCCACCAACGATTCGAATACCGTAGGTAACACCTCTTACTACTTGATTTAAACACAATCGGTAGATCTGGGCAAGGGATTGAAAAATTTTAAAGTTATTTTCTGCTATGTGTCTTTCAATCCCTTACGGGTATCACATACTTTCATGCTTTAAAATGCCATATTCATATGCTCAATATTTCAAACACATGACCATGAATTGAACAAGAAATAGAGTAGCATTTCATCAATTATGCTTTCATTCATCATTCAGCAATTTCAATACACAAACATACATATATATCAAGCATACATTAGGGTAAATTCATTACATTTTATCCTTAAGCTTTCTTCTTTGTTCCCTTTACTTCCCAACTATCAAAATTGCTTGAACAATCTTGCCATTCCTCTTCCATGGTGTCTCATGCCCTAAATTCACAATACTCAATAATAGTCAATTCATCAAGACAATGAAAACCATTAACAATTCTAACTCTTAAACTTGTTTCTCTTTAACCTTGAATTTCACTTTCTTTTCCGTAGCTTTTAGAATCATTCCCTTAGTTATTTCCTACTCAATTTTTCATGAGGAATCCAAATATGAGCTTGGATTTATCAAAATCTAACTCCTTCCCCCATTTATTGAGTTGACCGAATCATAGGGTTTTTAGGATTTAAAATTTCTATTTTCAATTCTAATACTTCCAAATATCTTTTCTTGTATTTCTCTACACCATTTCATCATTTAAGTACAATGGAAGCATCAAATCAACTTGAATCAAACTCTAACCCCCTATTTTTCACTTTGGTCGAAATATATATGTAGGATTAAGGGATTGGATTTTCTTCCAAAAATCAATCATAACCATCAATTCCTATGCCTTTCTATTGCTTACACATTGTTCCAATTTTCGGGCTATCCTTTCCTATTTTTTCAAAATTTGGGCAATATTTCTTCTTAAGGAAAAGCTACCAAACCTTCATGAAAACCATCTCAAAACAATCCCAAACAATTCCAATTCACAAGTTCTAATCAAAGCCAAATAATTCACAAAAGGAATGGAAGCTTACCTTAGTGATAACTTAGTCTTGATTAAGCTTTCTCTCACTAGAATTTCCTTTCTC